AAAAACATATTACTTTAACGACTGGGACATGCAGTTAGCCAAGATTTAATTATGAGGCAACAGCAAGCGACCAAGCGACCAAATTCAATTCAGCCTCTTGACAGTACACAGGACACGACACAAGCAGCACCAGCAGCAGCAGTAGCAGCAGCAGCAGTAGCAGCAACCCTCAGAGTACTACCCACACTTTGGTTGCCACAACGCCCTCTTTGGGGTGGTACCCCCGAAATTGACCATTAAAATCGCTTATGCATTTTGTGTGGTGCTTGCTGCTCTAATTGGTTTTTGTGTTGTTGTTGTTCCTGCTGCTGCTGTTGTGGTGTAGCCAAAGTGAGGCCACCATAAAATATTATTATTAGAAATTAAATTTTAATGCGTGTACCTAGCTCTGCTTTTATTGCACGCTCTTTGATGATTGCCGTCAGCCAAATTTGCTGTCAAGTGCTTGCGAATGAAGTCATCAATTTTAATGTCAAGTTGTCTGGGATTGCAACGACTAGTAGCCAATTGAAATTGAAAAAAAAGATTTCGCAATATTTCCCGAAAATAAAAATAATACCAATAACATAAATAAGAAAGCATTTCATACATATCTCAGCTTGTATGCATTAAATTTGAAATGAGGGCTGCTTTTAAATAGTGGATATCAATTTTCTTATAAACTATGTGTCTGTGTGTGAAGCTTGACGCAGCTAAATTTCACAGCCAAGACAACTGAAACTTTGGGCAGCCAAGGAACGACAGTTGGAGATAAACAGAGAGCGACCACAAAATGCAAGCCACACTCGCACACACGCACACACAGTTGAGTTGGGAATGTGTCTCTGCCAGGCAGTTATCGCTAAATTATGCGGGCTGTTGACAGAGAAATATGGGGGAAAGGGGTGAGCATGGCTATGGGTTAACCCAAGCACTCACACAAGCATACACACACACACACATATCAACGTGTGTAAATGTTAAATGGCACAGAGAAATTCAATGTCAAAGTGTTGGCGCACAAAAGTATGCAACGATATGTGTGTAAGAAACAGGAAAAGGATGAGACCGAACAAACGGACAAGCCAAAGGACATGGACAGTAGCCAGTTGCGTCAATGGCGATGATGACAATGATGATGGCAGCCAGACACACACGCACACACACACACACACTCATACATAGATATAGAGTTGTAGCACACAACTAAATGTGAAAAAGTTTGATTTGCAGGAAAAGAAAAGGACGAAGGAAATGGTCTACATGGAAAAAAGATGTTGATATACACATACATATATGGAGCAGCAAGGAGAAAGAACGAAACTTTTTTTTCCCGCTGCTGCGGAAACGGAAATAGAATTATAAAAGCCAAGCTAAAGACGTTTATACACCATACAAAAAGCAAATGGCAGAATTGAGCAGGGCAGCAATGGGGAGGCAAGGCAGACACAAACACACACATACACACACAGACACACTCATACACACATACACACACACATACACACACATATGGCAGGCAGATAAGAAAACTGTTTGCCAAAGGCTTAAAGCTGCCGCTGTAGGTGTGTTTGTGTGCGTGAATGAGGGGGAAACTTTTTGCCAAGTTCGTAGGGTGTACAAATTTATGAACAGACAACCGCAAAACTGTTTGAGGGGGTTGAAGGTGGCTTGAATCAAAAATGAAGTGCGATTTATGGTCATACAAATCAAAGTTTGGTGCTTGAGTTGATTGCTAACAATCTTTTGTGTGCCACAGTCGCTTGTGAACACAGACACAGATAGATATAAACAGGCGTGGGGAGTGGGAGAGGGAGAAAGGAGGGGTGATTTAGCATTTTTGGGTGTGGCTGTGTGTAAGGCTTCTAATATAATATTTGACACTCGCTTGGCTTGCTGCAGGTGTAGCCAGAGAGATTTGTGGTACAAATTAGTAGAAATGCTTGGAAAAATGAGGTGGTAAATTTAGCAAAGTGCGAGCAAAACTTTTCCATTGAATGGAGAGCGAGACAAAGGGAGAGAGAGAGAGAGAGAGAGAGAGAGAGGGAGTAGGAGTGAGAGGGCAAAGGGATTTATGAACAATTATCAAAGCTGTGGTGAAATTTTCGAACAATTTTCTCTTTTGCTGATTTGTGTGGCAAAAAACTTTTACAAGCAGCTGCCGAATACACCCGGGCGATAATGTGAATGGCCATTCAACTTGCCAGCGGTTTAGTTTATGAGTTTAAATTGGGAATGGGAACTTGAAAAGGAATTGGGCTTGGGTTTAGGTTTGTGGCAATGTAGTCGGCATCTGCTTTGGGTCCTGTGCCCTCATGCATTTATTGATTCACTAATTTGACTATTGTTTGCCAGCTCAAGGGATTGAAATGGATTTAAAGTGACATAAAGTTAAGCAGGTGGTTGGTAGTTAAATTAAACCTCTTGACTTAAGTGATTAGAGGCTTAAATTGCAATACTTGACGAACTTATCCCATACAGCGTTCAGTTTAAAAGTGGAGAGCACTCAGTTTACTAAAGAGTATAAAGGGGCCATGTGAGCACATGAATATCTATTTCAAACAGCGATTATATCAACTGTGATTATATTAAGTTTTGCTTACTCTCTCTCTTATTATTCAGAAATTAATTAGTAATGTAAATATTGACATGAAATAATTGGAACTATGTGTTTTCAGACTTGGAGTCATATTAAATACCTGGCCAAAATGCGTGTGTGTTATTAATGGTAATAATTATCAAGAAATAATACTTTAAAAACATTTCTTAGCTCAAATATTTACATAGGTTCTTTGACTATCGCTGTTAAATCACCTTATTTCAATCTAAGCACACACTGAGCCAAGACCCTGGCAGCCATTTAAGTTCAATGTTTGGGTAACCCGTTAACCGGCAGCCAGACAAAGGTTACGAGTAGTTTTAACGATAGCCCGCATCACCTTGGGCCACACGCTGAATAAGGGACAGACCCAATCTACAAGCCGAGTAGTTGAGCAGTGAGGCAGCCAAGCAAGTCGGCGACGCATTTGGCACGGCTAATTCAGGACAACATACGACGCATAACAGTTGTAACAAGACAATCAGGATGTGGACTGCATAGTGGTGCGGTTGGGTGAGGGGGGCTTGAATCGTTTGAGTTTGGGGAAGAGGATTTTCTACTTGAGAAATTGAATATTTCACATGTCTGTTTGAATTTTATAAGCACTGTAGGAAGCAGCCAACACAGAGCGGAAAAAGGAAGTCTACCAGAGAAATAAGAGACACGAAAAAAAAAACACAGAAGCGAAAGAAATACATGCGAAAACCTAACCAGCAAACCAAATAGGAAAATTGAAAAATAAAAAAATAAATCGAGAGAAGCTGCTGCGGCTGCTGCGACTGCTGCAGAAAGATGAACGTGAAACGACTGGGCGCCTAATCTAATATTCCACAGTGCAGGAAATTTGTGGACAGAGCCAAAAGAAAGCTGTGGAAATAGACACATAGATAGACAGACAGACAGACAGGCAGGCAGGCAGACAAGCAGACAGACTAACAGTCAGTCCAGACTCAGCTGATTGTCCCACCCAACTCCTAATCTGCTTTCCCTTTGCCGTCAAGGGCTCAAAACGGACAAGTTAGTTTTCTTGGGCTGAGACCCTCTGACAAACGTGCGAAATAAATGATATTTTATCACACACACACAGACACACACACAGACACACACACACACCCATACACACACACTCATACACTCTTCCACCCGCATGGGCAGAGCAGCCGCACTAAATGAAGCGTAAATTTCAAATTATGTTATAGGCTTTTAGGCCGATAAGTAAATTGTATCTTATCTTTTTTCTGAGACATTTTCAGCATGTGCAATTTGGTGTATTTACGGAGAAAACTATTCGATATACAAATCTGCTTTTTTATTTATGAAGGATTTGTAAGCATATTTCGTATTCTATTCTTGGCAATAGAATATACACGACTTGTTCTCAATAGTTTGATTGCTTGTAAATGTTTGGTACCATTTTTTAGATCGAGACTGATGTATTATTTGTGAGCTTACAATTTAGTTTTAAAATTGTATTTGAGTTTATTACTTTGTTAACTACAAGCACTATTTAATAATATAGTGAAAGGTTTCTTAATTAATAGTTTTACCTATTTATTATTTATTAACTTAAGCAAATAAGTTAAGCATAAGCGATAATTTTAAGATACTTAAGCTAATATATATATATATTTAAATATTGTATTTGCAAAAAATATTTAATTTCGAAATACAAATAAGTGTAAGGCAGATCTTAACTGGATTCTTAACTTGGCTTACCACTACCCATCGAGCACAAATCAAAACATATATTTGCATTTGCATAAATTGTGGGCATCGACAAGGTCAACAAATCGCAAAACCAAACCCTAAGCGCAAGATTCATAAATAAACCAAAAAAGAAAGAAAAGAAAATATGTTAAACCACAATGTAAACATTTAAATTTACATGGCAGAGACTTTGAGTCTGGCAAAAGAATATGATAATATTTATGGCCTACTTAAAGGCTTACTTAGGTGCCGCAGCCGCTCTTAGACCCACTTTAATTTCAATTTTCAAATTTGCATTGCTGTCTAACCCTGGTTGCCATGCAAATTGAATCATTTTTGCTCATTTCAACAGCAACTGAATTTTTCTATAGCAACCTACACAAATAAAAAAAAATCGTTCTCTGTGTTTGTGAATATGTGAGCGTATTTCTTGAAGGTGTTTTGACTGGCAAAAAGTGTCGTTCTTTTGAATTTATGATACTAAGCACACAACACGAGCCCTGCCAGAGGTTGAATGGCGACTTTATTCATATGGCTGCCCTCACCAACCCCAAATACCCCACCACCAGTATTTGAATAGCCATGCGATTGTGTACATGTCGCTCTTGTGTTCACAGATTCACTGATTTTCCATTGGCCTTTGTGCCTGCACTTTTACAGACTCGCTTCACATGGACGCAAATTAATTTGCATTTGCATATTTAATATATTACAGATCGCACCATCAGCGAACATGAGAATAACGATGTGGTGCTGCCATGTCCGGTGGATGAGAAGAAATGCGGAGATCTGCATTCCCTGAACTGGTTCAAGGGCGATTATCGCATCGCTGCAATGCTGCTGGGAGAGAACAATGTCACGAGTGTGGACGATGAATTTAAAAATAGGTGAGTAAGCTACACGCAACTCCACTTTAGTCAATTATTAATTCATATTATATTTATTATATATTTCATATTTTAGAGTAACTGTTGAGCGGAATCCATACAGATTAGTTATTAAGGACTTGAGAATATCTGATGAGGAGATCTATCTATGTGATACAACATTTCTTATACCAGTAGAAACGTGTGATAACTTCAATGGCCATCGTGTCGAATTGAGAGTCTTAGGTAAGTTGCCAACCAATCCACCTAACACCATTATTTTGCATGTTGGCCTATCTTATAATCATCTCAACGATTCGCTTCACAAACTTGTATGATTTGCGCTTACTTTGTTAATATTTTTGGGCTTTTCTGTTCTTGTATATCTTGTAAATGCTTTCCAATTCAGTTTGCTTAAAGAAACTAACTGCTAAACTAACCAATAAAAACTCATATCATTAGAAATATATATTTGAAATAAGTATTTATGCATGGAATTCATGTGGAGCTTGCCAACTAACAACACGTGGGGCAGGAGGGAAATCTGCAAGGATGTTGCACGTTGAGAAGCGAATGTTCTGAGTTGCTCGTCTAATGCTTATTGTGTTCGTCCCCTAAAAGTCAATGTTGATCAAATTTCAGCTTAATTGTGTACAATCAGAATGGAAATGCAATCCGTAGCAGTTTTAACAACATTCAAATTTAATATAGTATTTTGAAAAATGAAATATTTTCATATTGTGTGCCATTTGGACTCATTTTAGATTGCGAATAACATAAATAAAAATATTAAATGAAAACTATTCCAAGCTCGTCGAGAATATCCTTTGTATCTGTATGAAAGTTATGAAACTGCAAATTGGTCAAACTTCTAACAACAATTTACAATTCAAACGCATAAAAATTTGTAACCCAAATTGGAACATCGATTGCATTTTCAGTTTGATTTTGTTTTATTGCAAGTGGTTTAAAAAAATATATATGTATATATCTTGAATGCATTTTGTTGCCTGCCCTTAACACGCATTACCTTCTGCTGTACTATATACAATAAAAAATGTAACACTAAAAAATAACTTTATGTATTCGTATATTCATATATCAAAATGTTAACCCATATCAAAGTGCAAATCAAAAACTTTACTTTTAACCGCTCTACTCTTTTATCATAACATTTGAACGTGTCAAAACTCATGCAAATATTTTCTCTTAACTGATTGTCCCACCAAAAATATAAAAAAAATATATGATCTGAAAAATCGCATACAAAACGCTCGTCCACATCGACATGGAATTTCTATATATATACATATAACATACATATATACATACATATATATATATATATATATATGCATTGCTATCCAAAACTCAAACAAATTCGCTCCACCAAAACAAAAACTAACGAAAAAATAAAAAAAACGATATATGACAACCACTGAAAACCCAAAACAAAACTCAAAACTGAATCTAACTCCACGCCACGCCTGTTCTCTTCACCATCGCCCCCTCGATCCAAACGTGTGCACTCACAAACTTGATTGTTTTTTATACGTATACGCTACCAAAAATTGTATTGAACTGTGTGCTCCACAAAAACAAAAATATAACAAATGCCGAAAATCTAAAACCATAAACTGATGTGAAACTCAACCTAAAACAATTTAAATTCCGACAAAACGCTTTAAATAAAATTTGATTTTACTAAAACTAAAAAACGTAAAACTAAAACCAAAAAAACAAACAACAAAACGTTTTTGGCAATACCTTAATAACTGCGCCAAAAAAACGTAGAAAACCTTGGTAAATTTAAATTAAAATAAAAAAATATATATTTTTAAACAACATTAATTATAATTTTTAATTAAGTCGACTGACAATTGAAGCAGAAAATCAGTTTTATATAATTTTTTATAATTTTCTAACCGAATGAGAATGAGGTGCTGTTAGTGCTGGTTTATTCTTATCACAATTAAACAATTTAGTTAGAGCACTCTTTACTTTAATTTTAATTTTTAACTTAATAAGCTTTAAGAAATCTACTCATTCAACTTTCATTTCAATAGATTTTTTATTTTTATTCAATTTAGTTCACCATTTCATTTTACTTTCGAAATTATTGCTCTCAACAACTTAAGATTTTGATTCTAATTTGTATTATAATTTCTGCTAATAATATTTTTATATACTATGCAAATCAAATATCATTTATTAAAAACACAAATTGAACATTTTTACCTCCCGAAAAATGCAAAAAAAAAAAAAAATCTTAAAATATGCAAAAAAAAAAAAATGAATTACGCACACTTACACCTTCAACACCAACACTCACACATACACAACACACGCACACCCACACACACTGTCGTTGGACACATATTGGGTGCGTACAGTGCCACCCACAGAGGTTGTGATTTTGGACGCAAAGGGCGACCGCATCGAGAACGGCAGCGTCGTTGGACCCATGCAGGAGCGTCAGAGCCTCAAGGCTACATGCACGGTGAAGAACACCCGGCCCCAACCCGATGTGGGCTGGTGGCGTGGCACCAAACGCCTTGCCACATGTGAGTACTGCTGATCCCCTCCCACCCACACTCAGTCACCAAAAGCTCCAACTAGTATGTTTGAAGGTAGCACAAAACGCATAAAGGTTATTTTCTTTCGTCAGGCTGTCATAAAAACTGCTGAAGCGCGTTTATTGATTCCCCAAGGGGGGATGGGCTAGTGAGTTGAAAAGGAGACTAAGCAGCCAATTTGATGCATAAGCCCAAGCAAGTTGAAGGAGTCGAATTGAGAATCGGGTTTACGATGCGCCACAAAGTTTATGCAGTGACTGACGACCAGGGTCATAAAGCCAGGTCCAGGCCACGGAAGGATTTGGCTGCTTATCAGTGTCAGTTTTGGCCCCATAGAATAGGCAAATGCCCAGCCGCGCCCACAGCAGCCCATAAAATTTTATGCCTTTTTATTGTAAAGCATAAAAATAAACTTTCTGGTGATTTTCATTAAATTTTTAAGAGCGCCGTAGCTAACGCCTCAAACCCCAAAACTCAACGTTCAACCCCAAAGCAGAAGAAAAAAAAACACCATGAAAATTAATTGATTTCTATTTTTAAAAGCCAGGCATCCATTACATTAGCTTAAGCAGAATTTAAACCAAGCACTCGAAACATTTCCGAAATGTTGGTTTACCTTTTGCTGGCCTTGAATAGCACTTAAAGTGATTTTTTATGCCCCAAATCCTACAAACATCCCAGCAATTTACAACGGAAGCAAAACAACTTCAGCTACAAGGCGGCAACAACATTTTCATTAATCTTCGTTTTTTTTTATGGTCTTTCCGTTTCCTGTTTATTTTTGGTTTTTTTTTTTGCCGCTAATTGGCCTCGGTTTGTGGCTTGTGGCAACCCTTTTGTCTGGTCAGTCGAACCTCTAAGCACAATCTTTGATTCCGTGCGGAATTGTATTTATTCTTGACTTTAAAAGCAGTTGCTTATCATAATTGCGTATAATTAGAAAAAAGCGCACTTGCAAAATATGAAATTGGTTAGGAGAGGTTCAGGATTCATGAATAAAGATTTCCTTCGATATGTTTTGATAATATTTGCACTTCTACTTGCACAGACTCACCTACGCACGATCTGACCGATGGTCTCTATACGTCCACCCTGGAATTGGACTGGCAACTATCCCGTGAGGATCTGGCAACGGATATTGAGTGTCGTGTCGAATCCGCGGCTATTAAGGATGCAATTGTTTCGAAATTCAGCGTCGATTTGCAAGGTGAGTCATCATTACGACCAGCGATAAATATAATCCAAAGATCCCGTTCTCGGCTGCGATGACTCATAAAACTTAGCTATGAGTCAGCCATAGATATTGTGTTGAATAAGCCATATTTATGTAGGTGAGCTTAGTTATATGGTCATCTGGGCAAAAAGGGTTCGTTTTACGACTTTGTTTGCGATTTTACAATGCATAAAATACAATGCATAAAGAAAACTTCCTAAACGAAATTTATATAATCAAATAAAATTTACAGTAAGCAGCTGAAAACAAGGAAAACAAAGTCAATATTACGTAATAAGAAGCGCCCATAAGCTAAATATAAATTTAAGATTTAAATTTCTCAAGTTTTTAGTAAACCATTGAACTCATTTACCTAAGTAGAAATTTGTCCATTCTCAAGAGATCAGAATTCAGTAAAATGATTTTTTCCTCTACTTTACATCATTATATTTAAGTTGTACTCACATATCCTTGTCAAAATAAATTAGGAAATTAATTTGAATTGACAAATTGCCGCTTAAGACTCAAAAGTTTTTAATGCATAAGCATTATTTGGTATTGCTTTAATCAACATAAATTAAAAAGCGTTCTAAGTTTGCTGAAAGAGAAAAAAAAACAACAGGGACATTATTCACACGACATTTTGACATGTTTTAGGTTCATTAACCCAAAAAGCAACCCAATCAAATTCCAAGGGAACCCTTCTAATTACAAAAACAACAACAAGAACGGATTCCCTTAGGCGTCTGAGAGCCTTTTAAAAGTCATGCAAATAAATTTTTTCTAATTAAATGCTGACAATATCGAGTGACACTTTAGCTCCCGCTTCGTCTTCCTTGTCGACATTTCAGTCCTCTTCCTTTTTTTTTTTTTGAATTGTCGAATGATTTGACATTTTTGTTGGAGCAATTAATGAATGTCATTAAATGTAACATAAAACTGCGCCAACTAAGCCAACTTTTTCATTCACAAAGTGGGCACAACAAATTGATTGATGGCTATGTGCCCAACACCCATCCCCATGTAAAACCTTAAAATATTTACCAATCAATTGAAAATGGAGCCCCATATGAAGTAGGCAGAGCTCCGCATGCAAATTGCCGTTATTAATGTTTTATATTATGGGTAAGAAGAAAAAGAAAACAAAAAAGACAAAAACAGGCAAAAGAAGGAGAAAATGGCTCAAACGAGCTGTAGACATAGCCAGACAAAAGCCAATTACAAGCCGAGCATTTTAAGCAATTTTCTAACAGCCACCCAACATTCTTCCATTTTCACATATATTCACAGTGCGGCCAACGAGCATAGACATCAAGGGAGTGGAACATCATACGGTGCAGGGCAGCAAAGTGGTGCTAACATGTGACGTAAGTATTGGCTGAATTGTGAACCGACTGCAAGGATCACTCTGACAGGCAAGGGGGTAAATGGCTAAAGAGGATTGGCATGAAGTTATGGAACTGTCTCACAGTGCAACATGTTGCGGTCGAAATCTGAAGAAGAAAATAATATACAACAAATGGTTAAGCACTTTTCCACAAAATCTGATGCTGAAATTCTGCAATAAGGAGACAGGCAAAACTGAACTGATGCCTAAAAAATATATAAATCGCTGCTTATTTAACATATTTATTTATATGTGAATAGATTTTTCAAATTATACTTTTTCGTGAATGATTTTATCAAATCTCTGATTGAATTTTGGACATTTATCCACTGTGCACTGGCTGCTTTGTATTCCACATACTCAATCTCCTTCCGGTGCTCGTCCCTTTCGTTGCAGACCAAGTAATTGACAATAATTAACTGTCAATTATTTTGCGATTTTTCGTCGACATTGAGGACATGTGTACATCTGTGTGTGTGTGTGTGAGAACTATGCAACTAGCTATGCAGCTGGCAGAGTCCTTCCACATCCTGAGCTTTATACACCATCAGCGACAATGCCTTGTCATTTAGTTGGGCCTCTGCCTTGTGCTAGTCCTCAGTCACCAGTTCAAAGTTGCCAGTTGCCCGTTGCCAGTTGCCAGTTGCCCGTTGCCAGTTGCCCGTTGCCAGTTGCCATTGCATTTTAATGGAAAAGCGCACAATTGGCTACAGCTTAGTAGCACTTTGAGCACAAGGACCAGCTTCATGTGCACTGTAAAATTATGCAAAATTGTCTATTGATTGCGTATTATGTTTAATGGAATTTTATGCAATTGTTTTACTGCCTGCTTGGCTGCTTGCCAACTAGGTAGACATTTTTTACCTGAAATTGTTGGGCTAATGGAAATGTGTATGAATATGTGCACTTGCCAGCTAATGGAAATTTAATGGCAATTGCTTATAGTTCATGACAGCCCCGCCGCAAAGTACCACCCCAAAGGCAGTCACATAACACGTACGCCCCATTTTTGATTGTGTTTTATTATTTTGTGACAGATACATGGCGCCCGTCCGGCAGTTAACCTAACCTGGTATAATGCAACATCCATTATCAGTGGCGAGGAGAACGATTTAACTGAGATACGAACGAAGGCTGTAAGTTCCATACTATGAACAAATGGAATTTTAATTAATTTGATTTGATTTTACAGTTTGAAAAAGAGGATGGCACCTATCACACCCAATCCGATTTGATATTCAATGCCACTCGCTTTGAAAACGATCGCGTCTTTCGCTGTGAAGCCGAAAATATTGTGCTGCAAATTAATCGCGAGAAGCCAATGGCCTCAGCTTTGACTCTGGAAGTAATGTGTAAGTATAAGCTTAAGATCTTAAGCGTACTTAAAACCCTCTTAAATGGAGTCGAGTTACAAAGCAAACGCATCTAATCCAAGCAGTATTCTATTAGCACTTCTAACTGCTTTCAACGAAAACAATAAATACAATAGAATATCCGCTTGCACTTCTATTTGTCTTTTGGTATTTACAAAACTAAGTTTTTGGCCACAACTGAGCTTTGTCTTTCCCCATCTTGGTTTCCCCCACAGATCCGCCTGTTGTCAAGGTCAGTCCGCCGGAGATGGTGACAAATACGAGTGAAATTGTGCTGCTCAATTGTGAATATGTGGCAAATCCTGCATCGCTCACACATGTCGTTTGGTAAGTGCTTTAATCCAAAAACTAATACAAAATAAATTCGACAAAAAATTAAACCCAAAATAAGCTGAAAATTGCGTTTGGGTTGTGTGACAAACAAAAACAGCAGCCAAAAATGACCAAAGTTAAAAGCGAAATGCAAACGAATTTAAATTGCTTTCGAATTCGGGTCGAACACTCAAACGCACACATAAAATATACCCAAATACGCACACGTGACACAAATGGCAACCGAGAAGAGTGTGTGTGTGTGTGTGTGAGAGAGAGAGAGAGAGGGTGACTGTATTATCGGAAAGAGATGGAGATAGCGATAGTCCCAAGGCAAAACCTAACGCGCTCTTTGTTGTGCTGCCTAGGTGCCAAACAGCAGAGGGGCAGAGTTGTGCCGAGGCAGGTGGGGGGAATGGGCCCTGCGGCTGCCCGTCAGTTTGTGTGTGACTTTGGCAACCCGGCTACAGTCACAGTTAACAGCAGAATCAGGCAGCGGAAGGAGAAGCAGCGACAGCGACAGCGGCAGCGGCAGCGGCAGAGGCAGAGACGGAGCAGAACTCAATTAAACTAAAATTTCCACAGTAAACAAAAATCTAATTAAAAACAAATACAAAAGTAAATAGGCAAGAAGAGTTGAAATGTACGCAGCAAAAACGACAGCCAGTGCGTGAATTGGGTGTCGCATTCTGTTAAGGCAACTGAGCACACACACACAGCACACACACACACACACACCTACACACACACACACACACACCTACACACACACACCTACACATACACATACAGCACACACACACTTAAACATTAACGTCGTGCAATGCATTTATCTGCTGAAAATCAAAACAAACTCGCAGTTGCGAGTTAGGAATAGCAAATGGAATTTAACCAAAAATTTGTTGATGTTGCATGCTGCATTCCATTCTGGGTAAAGAGAAATCATTGTGCTTAGGCAAATACAATTAATTATTAAAATTGACTTGATTTGCAGAAGCTAAGGAATTTGATCCAATTGTATTTTATTTAAATTAAATAAATAAAATAACAAGTGCTTGTGAAAAGCAACAATTGGCCTCCAAGCAATTGTTTATTAAGTAAGCTGTATACTTCATTAAAATTTCTACCCAGTAACTATATTATTAATTAAATTTAAGGCTGAAATTGCTGTCAATTTGCAAACAACATTTCAAATTTAAATATGTAACGAGTTTATTAAATGCCAACACACAAGTTCGTCCAGTGGAAATGCAAACAACAAGCATGCATAGCTGTCATATAAAATGGCATAGGCAACTGTCGCTCATGGCACAATATCTTTAGCTGACATGCCAACCAGCTACTACCAACCACCGAATTAGATAGCGCGAAATGGAAACGAGTAGCAGAGAAATGATAATTTGGACAGTTGCGTCTAACTAACTTGGCCAAAATACGACGGATAATGGATGTGCATACTGCGATGAGTACGCAAGCGAGTTAGATCTGCACAAAATGCAAATTGCAGTTGCAGTTCCATTCACAGATTTCCCTCACTCTGTCCCTCTCTCTCTCTCTTTCTCTCTCCCTCTCTTTCGCTCTCATTTTCTTTCTCTCTGGCTGACTTCAATGCTGATAGCGTATTAATTTGCTTGATGCCTGACGTGACAACATGACGCATACGCGACATTTACAGCAGCTTCAAATTTCAAATAGTGTGTGTGTGTGGCAGTTGAATTAATTGCAGAGAATCTGTTCTGAGTATCTGGTGGTGTGGCGATGCAATGCGGATAAGAACTTAATTCTGTGCGCCACCATATGCCAAACACATAACCGCATTGTTATTCAAATCTTCATCAAGTCAATGGTAACCATAACTTTGCATGCACTTACAATCCATTAAGTAATTCCAAATGATTGATTTTTTGTAGAGCTTTTACTTTTACTTCACTTATGCATTGCGAGAGTTTATTAAGTCTTATTAAGAAAATACAAATTAGTAAGGTAGTACAATGAGATCCCTTTCGAGACAGATAAATAATGCAGAGAAATGTAAAATGAAAGAAAAACGAGATTCTAACTAGAAATTCATAGTATACTTTTAGGGATGGTCGAAAACTTTCCGAAGCTAAAAAGTAATCCGATTTTCAAAAACCCTGTCTTTTGATCATGGTTTATAAACACGATTCTAGCTCGAATGACAACAAGCTACACAAGCAGCAGCTGGAAAATATGATGAATGAAGATGACATCATCAGCACATGGACAACACACACACACATGCAGATAGACACATTCAGTTACAGGCACTGTGTCAAGTGGCTGCATTTTACAAGCCTTTTTACCCGCTTGAAGTTTTCACATTTCTCTTTTCACGCTCGGGTTTTAGGTTTGCCTTTTGCGCCTTTTTTGCTAATGCCAGCTGAGAAATTAAATGCACACACAAAAGTGAAACACACAAAATTTATTTAGCAGGCATTTCATTTACGCCTGTCACTCTATCTCTCTCTCAATCTCTCTCTCTCACTCTCGCTCTCTCTCTCTCTGTCTATCTCTTTGAAATATGTGTGTGTGTTTCTGTGTGTTTTGGCGCAGGTTATGTTGTGTGGCTATAATTTGAAAAAGCTCCACACAAAAGAGACAGCATAATTTACAGGGGGAAGAGATTCGGTAAAATTCTCGTTGCATTCGTTTGAGGTCCAACGTTTTGAAGCCACAATTGTTGGCGCCACCAGGTTGCAAAGCTACAACCAGCTACAAATTACAAATTAATTGGATTTTAAAGAGGCTTGTTTAAAACCTACTAATTGCGTTGCTCTATTTAACGTAGTTGTGGATAACGATTCACGTATAATTTAAAAAGGAATGTGTATTTCGATTAAAGTGTACATATTTCAATATCTAAAATATTGTCTAGCTCTTTTCTGTAAATTCTGCTCATATATGTTCATATATAATTGAATAATTTATGGTAATTAATTAGATCATAATATTACGTTGTTTATGTTACTTTGATTCTAGATTTTATTTTCAAGATATTTATTTTGTTTCTCTCACATCTAACGTTCTCCTGACATACGCACATTTGTTATTTATTTGCTTCGATGTTATTATATGATTCATTTAAATGCTTTCTCACGTAATATAATTCAATTGCTATCTGCAATAATAATCTTGTAGAGATGGAATCGACATTGTTTTATGCATTTGGCGATTGTTCTAGGGCTCCAGCATTTCCATCCGGCACTCGGCATGAAATATTTACATAAAATTAATCTTAATTTGTAGCGCCCGCCAACAATAGGCCAAGGTTTGGGTCTCAGGGCTATTTACGGTGCTGTTTGTTTGCTACCCCCAAAAGGTTAACAATAGGAAAAGCAACCCTAAAAGGCAGCAACAAGCTCAACCAGCCATTGAACGATAGAACAAATAAGCCCATAGACAGCATACACACACGCGCTCACCCTCACATACAGCATACAGCTTCTCACAGTCTCTCAGAGCTGCACATAATTTATAAATCACCACAAAAGTAATTGTAATTGTTGAATTATTTAAGCGACTGGCAATAACCACAAAATTTGCCTCAGGCCAAAACAAGAGGGAAAAAAATTGACTTTACGGCTTGTTGATGACGACAAGGGCAAAGCTCCAGAAGTTACAGGAGTGCCACAAGCTCCTTCGAACCAATTAAAAATGTCTGCCTCATGTTGCTATGTACACACAGACAAACAGACACACACACACACACACACACACACAGACACACAGAGAAACACACAGGCACGCATACTCACACATGAGTAAATTAATGAGTTGCTTCGGTCTTGTAAGCCGAACAGAGTGCAAAACTGTGTGTGGAGCACTTTGCCAGCTGCTGTCGAGATATAAAAATAATTTCAATACTTTTTCCGTTTGCCATTAAGAGTATTTCCGGTTGGCTCGAACTCTCACCCGTACTGGACACACATTTCCGTCCAGAGTCTCCACACTGGCCAAATAGAATGCAGGCAGCACGCAACTCTCTCTAGCTTTTTTTGGATTTTACCGAAACTTGCAGCGTTTGTGTTTTTTTTTTTTTTGCTCTTATTTGGGAGGGACGGATAATTAAAATAAATTACACTTGTCGGACGCTGATGATATGCTGGATTTATGCAACAGAAGTCGTGCAACGTTAACTCATTAAATTAACGAGGCCGCAACACTGAAAAGTACTCTTTGGCCAAGGTGAATTGCGATGGAAACCTGTGCGAAATATGCAGTGTAGTCCAAGCGATCAAAATTACTTTTGTGCATTGATGCAGCGCCTGTTGTCGTTTCTCTCTGTTTCTCTCTGTTATTGTAAATCAATTAAAATTTACATTGAGCCATGCTGCCTGCCACATGCTTCGACTCTGCTGCCAGCAGCATCTGGGATGCTGTTGCATTCCGAGCTGTGGGTAATACAATTTCCATTTATGCCGCCTACCGCCGTAAAGAATGCAATGCATTTATTAATTTCACACAAACTCACACACATGCATGCACACTCACACACACACGCACACACACACACACACACGCACACACACACACACAAAGGGAAACAGAACACGAGGTTGCTTCAATTTTTATATTTTACTACCATCCTTTTATCGCCAGACAGAAGTGTGCGTAAAATTGTTTTAATGCCACTGGGAAATGCGCAGAGAAAAAAAACGAATAGGTACATTGCAGGCGAGCTAAACGGACTTCGCCATACTCTGTTATTCAACAGCTGAAATCAGCTTGAAAATTGCCTATTGTTTTCAGCAGTTGTTTGCTTGGCAAGCATACTTCAATTGACTTTTGAAATTGGCTAATAATCTGTAATCTAAAAAAACTCAATTGGTCGAGCCAAGCTTCAAGCATAACCTTTTTCGCTAGTGGGAACAGTGTATGATAAAATAATAAATCGAGGCAGTCCGAAAATGAAGAATCTTCCATTGTCTGTGGCTTGCCACTGCGCCTAAGAGAGTGCGAGTGTGTATGTGTGTGTGTATGGGTGTGTGTGTGTGTGTGTGAGGAATTATGTGTTTAATGTCTGACAGTAAAAACGTGCAATTGCAAGTATTTCGATTGTGCCAAGTAGAGATGAAGAAATATTAAATAAAATTAAATTTCCAAACATTGAAGTTAGCCGTTCCTTGAATAATATTTTACACAATTAATCGTCTTATGGTCTGTCTATTTTTGTACCTCTCTCAAGTGCAATTAATATGCAAAGTTTATGTTAAGCTGATTATAATTCTACAAGTGGGCTCTCTTTTTGCAATCGTTCAGAATTCACAAGCGGATTTTAGAACCCACTTAGAGGCACAGGAAAAGGCTAACAGAGTCAAAATGAAAGAGTTGAGCAAAAAGCATGTTAGGCAAAGCATGCAACTGCAAAATAATCGTTACTTGAGTGCAGTTGGCAGTAGGAGCTTATGCAAAATGCACCATGGGCTGGAAGAAGCGAAGGGGGCATTCAACGAAGCAATGACAGTAAATAAATAAAGCAATGCTAGGCAATGCACAAAGAACAGTTGACATAATTTGCTAGCCTCTTCTAAGTTGTTGCTGTTGTTCTAGTCTGTGACAGCAGAGCCTGCAAAGTAGCCGAGATTCATTGGCAAAACAAGGCAGCTATCTACCCATCTCTGTCTTTCCCTATCTGTCTCTAAGTCTGTATCTATCTCTCTCTCTCTCTCTCTCTCTCTCTCTGTGTTTATCAGTCATGCTATGTTGTGTGTGGGTTCTGTTGAAGTTGTTATGAAAACAAAAACACAATGAAACGTGCCTATAAATTTTAAATAGCCAACAAGAGAAAAATCTTCTCTTCTCTTCCCATACCTTCGCCATCTGTCTCTCTTTCTCTCTCTCTGTCGCTGTCTCTGTCTCTCATGTACGTGCTGGTGAGCGTGTTGCATCATAAATGAGTTAGTGTGTGTGTGTGATTGTGATCCAACGAAAGGGCCTTAAATTATGCTGCACAACGTGTGTCTGGCAATAATCAAATAACTAACTTGGCATTTTTGGTTTCTGTGCTGTTTTGCAGGTATCGCAACGGTGACATTGTAAATGTCAATGATACGGATCGCTATCAGGGCGGCAATTCGGAGAATGTTGCCTTGGTCATCAGGTCCACCGATAAGGAGGATATTGGCAACTACACTTGCGAGCTATCCAATTCCATTGGCAAGGCAATCTCCGAGCAGCAAATCGATCTCGATGTGCAGTGTAAGTGAAGGATCTTTCTATCTGATTTATATATATATATCGATTGACTTAATTTTATAATTTTATTAAATAAATGTAACAAACAAATTTATGATAATTTATATTATTTTATTTATGTATTTTGAACTACAGACGTGCCGGTGGTCGAGGTGCAGATGATACCCGAGGGACCCGTCAAGGAAAGCGATGAGTCGAATGTGACCCTCTTCTGTAATATTCTGGATGCCAATCCATCTGTGCTAACCAAAGTGCGCTGGTATGCAAATTCCACGTTGCTCAAGGAGCTGCCCGACTGCGAGGAGACAAGAGTAAGTTCAAACAGAAACTTATCACTCTCGATCTTTAATAACACTTGCTGTTTATTTATTTACGCAGGAGGATCTGTGCCACATTGATCCCAGTAAACTGCTGCTGGAGAGCATTGGACGCGGCTTCTTCTACAATTATTCATGCGAGGGCTACAATGCCGCCGGCTGGGGACCACGCAGCGAAGACAAAGAGCTAATGGTAAGATGAGAGCAACAACAACAACCCCTCTCCTCTTTCTCATTTAAAGTGTATGCACTTAATTTCAATTTCTCACTTCACTTTCTACTTGATGTTGCAGGTGCATTATGAGCCTGGACCGGCGACTTTGACACACTTTCCACCCATTGCCATTAAGAAGAAGAGCGTCATTTTTTATTGCTCTGTGGAAGATCCGGGCTATCCCGAATCGAATAGGTTTGTAGCCACAGAACAGGCCAACAAAAACAAAAACCAAATCAAAAACAAATACAACAGCAACAATCACAATGCATCCAATACACAAATTGCTTTTCACACCGTGCAAGCCTTGCAGCCGCATGAGGCAGATGCCGCTTTCGAGGCGCTGCTGTTGCAAAAGCAGCAAGAACAAAGACAGCAAAACAAGCTGCAACAGCCGCTGCATCAATTGATTAATCCCACACACATATCATCAACATTATCAACATTATCCAGCATGAGTGCTCGCGAAATTAAAGAAACGCATGCTTTAATCGATTTACATTTGAATCATTCCCTTTGTACATTGCTCACGCTCACCACTTACATGCCACAATCACAAATCTTAACCCTGTACAATGGGGGGCACCCGTTTGACTATTCATCCGAATCCACCACCGCATCCTATGCACTCTACCGCAAAATGGGCAAATTCATGTATGTGGCTCAAACGCTCTCGCAACCCAACAGATACCGTTGGCTGCGTGGCGGACGCGGCCCGCTGCAGGACATTGTCACCAAGGAGTGGACCGTGGAGCCTGTCGGCTTGGATAGCCGCACCAACTATTCGTGCTATGCGTACAATGAGGGCGGCAAGGGCGTAATGGCCACAGTCAATTTGGAGGTGCATGCACCGCCATTCTTTATCAAGAATATGCAACCGTACACGGGCGTGCTGCACTCCGTGCCCAACTTCAATCTAACCTGCCGCATCGAGTGTGTGCCCCGCTGCGAGATCGCCTGGCTAAAGGATGGCACGCCAATTGACAAGAATGATACCCGCTACTTTGTCAAAGAGAAGTACATGGACGCCTCCCCAGCCACCGGTGATTTCGAGAGCATGCTCTCAGTCCTGGTAAGTACTTACTTACATTCCCAGCAAGTGCAATCAAGCAACGCTCCGCCATTAAGATTACTTTGTTAGCTAAAGATAAACGAGCAGAAAGTTGATGGGACGTGTCTGCTTATCCTCTACAAAATGAAATGAGGGCAGTTGTCAAGGATTATGAATTAACTTACATTTAAAAAGTAACTGAACAAAAAATTGCAGCAAGTGCCATCAAGTAATGAATGAAAATAATTTAAAGAATTATAGAGAATAGGTTTCCTATTCTAAAATGAGTGACTTTAAACACCTAAGAATTATAGAGACGAGGTTTCCTATTACAAGTTCGATTAGCTATTAAAAAGTAAACATGAACTTAGTGAACAATACTTTAAATAATTACTAAGTCTTCAAATCGGAATTAAAAATTTATAATTAGTATTCCCAATAAAGTAGGCAAAAACTGATTACACCTGAAAGTATGCCAACATAAATATCAATATGAATGCCATGAAAAAACAGATTCAAGTAACTAATTTAAAGCAGATAAACCGTAACAAGCAAACCCGCTTACAACTTTTTAGATCCAATTAAGCAGTGATAAAAAATTCAACGAATTTTCAATTTAAATATGTGTTTCATATGAGCAGGTCAATACACAAATAGCTGTCTACTCAATATGCAATAATTTCCACAGGCACTGCAAACAAAATGCCAATTAATTTGAATTGTTTATCTCCGTGACAAAAAATCCGGGTAAAAAGAGAAATGAGTCGAATGTCGTGTTACAGCAGGGCTCCAGACACACTACATGAAAATTCATCCCCAATTCACAGAATTGACATATTTCCATGTTGTCTTCTCGTTTTCTTTTTGTGTTGTTTTGCAAACCGATTACAGCACTTCAATATGTCAAATTTTCCGAATAAAAAATTCGATATCGAATCGGATAACGCCAAATACATGTGCATATCGACGCCGAATGCGGTGGGGCCGACAGTAAATAGCACCACCTACTTGAGCATTGAATGTGAGTATTCCAACACGACAGCCTGTGACAGGCATTCAACTAAACTCCCTCCCTCTCTCTCTCTCTCTCTGTCCCTTAGACGCACCGGAGAACATAAGCGTCTCGGAGAATGTTGTCTATGTGCAGGAGCATCATATACCGGGACGCGTCATATGCAAATCGCAGGCTAATCCAGGTAAGTGAATTGCCAGTTGTGCGTGAGAGTGCTGTGAATGGTTGCATCTGAGGCATCGTCTTCAATATTTTACAGAGCCCTCATACGAGTGGCTGTATCCAAATAAGAGTGTCACCATTGGCAACACGCTGATTATCAATGATCCCATCAAGCGCAACGATACGGGCATCTATAGATGCAGAGCCTTCAACAAGCATGGAGATCGCACAACCGAAACGGTCATCGATGTCCAATGTAAGTATTTAATATTGATAGTCCTTTCTACACCTTCAACTTATTTTTCCACAACTTTTGTATTTCATTTTGTACTTTTCCGTTCTTTTTTTTTATTTGCGGTACTTAGTTACACCACGCTGTGAAATAGAAAGGCAAGAGATCGATGACCAGGATACACTAATTTGCACAGCATACGGAAATCCTGCAGAGGTGAGTGCCAATGGTGTTTCTCTTCGCTTGCGATGGTAAAGGGGCGTTGCCAGACCTCAAAAAAGGGTGTGCATCCGCCATCGAGACACACACACACAACAGTAAACAAGTATGTGCAGAGTTAGAGCAAAGCGAACAAGTCGTAGCTTAGATACCCTATAATTTCCATGTATTGTTTGCATTGAGTAAAACCAATGAATTATTTGTCTAAGACGACTTATATTTATATATGTATATTTATTCAATTTTAAACCAACTTAAAAACCATAATTATTTCTCTAGAAATGTAGATAAAGTTGTTAATCTTGTAAAGCAACTCGATTGCTTAGTAATACTCCTAGCTAGAGCAAATTAACAACAAGAGTAAACTTTAGTTCCATGCTGGCATCCACACACCATGACACTGGCACAGACACAAACACACACTACCACACACACACACATACCGACAATAAAAGGCATTCGTCTTCCCATTGCAGGCCATCGAATGGTAATAACGAAAGCATTTGCTTCTGTGGCGCTTGCTGAAGGGCTGGTTACACCAACGGATAGGGGTTTTGGTTTTCCCCATTTTTTTTTTTGTTGTTTTTTTTTTTCATGCAGGTGGCTGCAAGAATTTTCAATTTTATGAGTTTACGTTTTGGCCGGAACAGGGATCTCCTGCCGGCTACAACAGTTGCAGCAACTGTAAACTCGGCTCCCAACTTCAGTTTGGAGTTCGCACTTTTTGCCATGCCGCATAAATCAGTGCAGCATTTTTTTTTCTCCTGTTACCATTTTTGATTTTTTTTTATTTTCTTTTTTTGCAATTGCATTTGCTTTGCCGTTACTTGAATTAAGGCGTGCTGGCGATTAAGGTGCGGCGTAAGGGGTACAGGGAGGAAAGCGAGGCAGAATAACCTGCTGGTTGGCCCAGAGATTTATAGCCACGCACACAGGCAGTAACCACAGCGAAACGAGTCTCGCTCTACTCATGTGTGTATATGTGTGTGCGTGTGTGCAAGGAGCAAAGTCGATGCCTTGTAATTATTTGATTGGAAATTATTCAACGGGCGTAAAGTTAAAATTTAATAACGAAGCACGCAATCAGAAGAAATTGATGTGAATTCAAGTTGGGTGTGCATTGGGTGAATTGAGCATATACAAGATTAACGTAGATACGGCTCAAACAGGTTAAAGATATATTTCTCTTTACTATGCTCATCTAGCATATAGATTCATAACTACACGAATTGCTCGCATTTCACATTCGAATATAAGCCGAGTTTCAGACTTCAAATGCAATTTCGTTTGATCAGCCATATCGTTCAGCTCAATGCCCATTAACCAAAACTTGAAAGCTGTCTCAGCAGTGTGTGTGCACTCACACAATCGACGAATGCAAAGAATACGTAATATTGCGAAGCAAAGCAAAAATGCGTAGAATAAGAACACAAAACTGAATGACCAAAGAGCAAAGTGAAAAGCCAAAGTCAAATACGGCCAAAAAGGTAAAAATAGGAATAGGAAAAAAATGGAAAAAATAGATGTAGACAGAACTTGACATAGACAGGCATACACATATACAAACGCACACTGGTCTTATATATACATATATGGGTGCGTGTGTGTGTTCTCAACTCCAACCCATTTCCACTCTTCCTTTCTAATGTTTCATCACTTTACTTGCCCACTCCATTACAGGCCGACTTTTCATGGTCAATTAAAGCTGAGAATGAAACAGTCGAAACGCTGGGCAGCGGTGACAAGAAGACCTATGTGGACAGAAGCTTTTACATACTGCAGGAGGATTATGCCATTGCCAGGACCTATCGATGTGTGGCCAACAATTCCGTTGGACCCGGCGCATTCTGTGAAATTGAAGTTGCTGGTGAGTAATATTCCAAAAACGAAAAGTGAAAAAATGAGGGGGGAAAAAATACGTTACGAGGGTATGGGGCAACGCAACGGAAGCTGATTACTGTCAATATTTGCTTCATCTGTTTCCGTTTTCCGGTGCTTCTTTTTCTGCATAAAGCTCTGCATAAAATGGTGGCTAGCTGCATCCGCTTCCAACTAAAATGGCGTCCACGTCTTTGCTGGCTAAGGCAATTAGGGCATTGTTTGGCACCCAACAATTCCCATTTCCCCTTCAACCAAACCCAATCCCAATCCCCACCTGTCCTCCAACTGCGCCTTACTTGCCTGGTATTCTAACATGCGCCACGTTTTATTACAACCAAACGGAAATTGGCTTCTACGCTTTTTTCTTACGCTCCTCACAAAAATCAGACGCGATTTTTTATTTCTTATTTTTATTTTTCTTATTTTGTGCGCTGTGATTTTCTTCAGCTGCTTAAGTCGTGAGCTTGGCGTCTTTTCTCTTTTGGCCTGCGATTTTCCTTAGCGATTTTAATGTCTGTCAAATAAATACAGCGCCCAACACCCAACACCCAACACCCCACGCCCAACTCCCTTCTAATCTACCAGTTTACTGCGTCCACTTACTATGCCACTTTTTATACCATTTCATTGATTGAATTGAAATTGAAATTGAAATTTGACAGCTGATGACGTCAACGATTTTCTTTTATATGGTCCACTTTATATATTTGAAAGCTGTGCGACGTATTTTATTGCCTTTGATTTATGTGTTCCTAGGTAACACAGACCCAATACCCAAACTCTTCGAACTCACATCCCAAAAAAACCAACTGTCGACCATTAATCATATTTATAATTTATACTCAAGAAATTATGTCAACTTTTTGGTTTTTTATTATATAATTAACAGCTGGTTCAGCACTTTATATTTGGTGGCAAGGTAAATGCCGAAAAAATCTCACTATTTATTTTGAGTTAAATTCCCTAATGTTTTTATTAAGTTCGCAAAGTACCCAAATTATTGCTAACCATGTGGAAAATACAGAACATTTTTGTGTTTGCAAGTTTGTTAAGAACCCTGTCTTAAAAATAATTGGTTAGCGCCATGTATTAACAAATATATTTACTATTCTCTGTCTTCCCCCTTTTGCTTTTAAATTTAATGCTAATAAACATTTAACGAATTTGAAATGCTTCTAATCTGATTAGTGCGACCAAAAAGTAAGTAGTAGTTGCATGCCAAATTACTAAAACAAAGAAACTGTAGTAAAATATTACAAATTTTAAGAAAAACTTAATTTATTAACATATATAAATGATATAATACAAAATGCCAATTAACATTGAAGGAGGCCCGAATATTATGTTATGAACTGCATATATATAGAAGGCTTACTTTAATCTGTATTTATGTAGTGAATACGAGTCTAACTTCTTAGAATTTTATGCACTACAAAGTCAAAGTTAGTTGCTTAAGAATTTTCAAGCAATATGAAATTCCACTTATAATGATAGTGAACGGTAGATGGCGCTGCTATTTGAAATTCTAGCATGTTTGTAAATTATGCAAGGACCGACAACAACTATTTTACATGCATAAACACAGCCGCAGTTGCCATACAAATATGTATATATAAAGGCCGCTACTGTGCCACATGCTGACACTAATCCACATAAGCAGACACAAACACACACACACACACACACACTGGCACACACACACAGGCACACACACTTATAGACATATGCGCGCCACTAAAACTAAAAGCCGCCATTTTTCATTTGTCGCTCTCTCGCTTGTTTAATTGCATAAGATAGGAGGGTGGAGTGGGTGGATATGGTTAAGGAGTGGCTGCTGACTGCTAAATGTTGTTGACACGCGAATCCACACACGATGCCAAAATGAATAGCTCATAACATATGTGAATACACTCGGAGAACAAATACATCTGCCAACAGAGATAAACGCTGCCACAAAACAAAGGCACTTTACATATGTTCACACACACACACACCCATATATATATATATATATATCCTTCTTTATATATATACATATATATTTAGAGCGCGCTGCTGGCAAAGACAATTCATTTGTTTGGATGATAAACAGCTGAATTATGGCAAATATGGAAAACAATGAGGGACGACGAGCCGCTTGAAGGATGCTGTTGCACAGCTGCCTAGCACAATTATATCCATAAGACAATGCCACATTGCGTGGTCATGAAGGGCCAGTGGATGGGGGTGGGAGGGTGATAGTGAGGGAGAGGGGTTTACTTTTGTAAGTAAAACATGGAATGCATTTGTATGTGCGGAACTGATGCTGCTGCTGCCACTGCTGCCACTGCTGCTGCTGCTGCTGCTGCTGCTGCATGCCTAATGCTGCGTTGGTCTCTGTGGCATGGCAAAACCATGTGACAAGTTGATAAATTAAAGTTAGCTGACAACCAGCAATTGCAACTCCACTCAGTCAGTCAACCAGTCAGTCAGTCAGTCAGTTAGTCAGTTAGTCAGTCAAGTGGCTAAGTAGGCAGACATCGGGCTTAGCTCTGAGCTAAGCTGTCAGTTGTAAAGAATTGCATGTATTGTTAAGTTTCTCTTTTTTTTTTTGACTTCGCTTAAAGTATGCAAGTATGCTCTATATTAATACTCATCTCTCTTTCTCTATGCGTTTTTTTTTACCCCTTTTCTCCCTTTCTCTTTCTCTATATAGAACAATTGGCCTGGTGGCAGCGCTGGGACAAAACGACTCTCATTATTGTGGTTGTTGCCATATTGGTCTTATTACTGGCCGTCATTATTATTTGTTGCATCATTATTTGCATATGCCGTCGCCGTCGGCGTCAGGATAAATGTGAGTACAACAAAAACAAAATCAACAACAGCAATAAGCTAAAAATCGACTGCGAATAGTCGTTATGGGAATTTCCCATAGCATAGTTTAAGGCCCTTTCAATAATCCGAAAAGAACAACAATAGCAAGAACCAAAACAAAAACCTACAATATGAGTTTAAGTTATATTTGAACGACTCACACCACAAAACATCAATTGAATATTTCTGGTGTTATTTTCCACATCATTTAAAACTTTTCATTTATTTGAATTTTGCCTAAAAAGCAGCATGCCCTGATTACACTTTGCATGGGTATTTCTCCGAATAACTGCATAAGAAACAAGTTTTAAGCATGCAACTCCAATTATATGACTGAACAGCATACTGGAACAGCTTACTTACTATTGAATAAATATTAATTAGGCATAAAGATTTCAGAATATAATTATGTCATTTAAATTACACAGCTTTTCTCAATTGAATGCATTTCACATTAAATTTCACTGCTCTTCCATTAATTAGGCCTTTGGTTTTTTGTTTGTTTTGTTCGCATTTTAATTACTGGACTTAAGCTTATGTGCTGTGCGTTAAAGTATTTATTTTGTGCCAGTGAATTGAATATATATTAAACAATAAAATGAAAAACATAAGTCTATACAGGGTGCTGCTTGATATGCATAGCAACTCCAAGCTTATTTGAAAACATTTTCGAAATGTCCATAATAAATAACGTCCTGTAAAGCAGATGTTACTTTCAGTTTTTTATATGCTTGTTTGCCAACATTTTAACGAACAAAGAAAAATACCTCTTAAATAATATATAATTTATAATTATGTTTATTATTTTATTTTTTATTTTCATTTTCAATTATATAACGCCTTGCATATGTATAATTCAAATTATATGAACGACAATTCAAATTGGCTGCATCAATGTTTAATGCTTCAACAACAAAAACAACCACATAACTGGAACATCAATACACACACATACAAAAAAATGAATACGAAAAAAAATAAACCCATTAATTGCAATACCACAACAATAACAAAAATATCTACAACTAATTAACAACCACAACGAACTACAACAAAATTAAATTGCTGTTCTGTTTGTTGTCAACGTTTTTTATTTCCTTATCATTTGCTTTGCCTGCAACATTTTTAATTAATTTCGCCTGGCATCCCGCTCTAACTAATTATTTACCGCTAACTATGTATCTATCTGACTCATACACTTGTGCATATATACTATTATATATTGTTGTCTCTACTGCTGCTTCACTTAATAATTGCTCGCTGTAACAACAACCACAACAACAACAATGACCACAACAATAAAAACAACAACAACAAACACTACATTAAATGCTGCTTACAATGCTAACTAAACAAAATGCGTCAAACTCTTTACATTGTGCTACAACATCAACAACAACAACAACAAACTACAAATATTCATACTTACACACACACACTTGCATCATATAAACAACAACAACAACAACGACATTTGATTTAAATTCATTTGGTAAAGATCATACGGAAGTATCCATTAGCGCCAATCAAAGGTAAGTGCAGCATTATTCTTCCTATAAATCATATGTAAATTGAAGTATATTGGACAAAATTGAATAACGCTTTCTTTTTTTGTTTCACTATCTTTTTAAATTTCTTAGTATATTGACAATATTACATTTTTACAGAATAATTACATAAATGTTACATATATCAGATTTTGTGAGAATTTAAGAGTGATTTTAAATGCTTTTCAGAATATATATTTATATATTCTCTCAGAGTTTTCAAATAATTATTGGTGATAAAACGAAATATTAAATGTCTGAATATTCTGTTTAAAAATATGAATGAATCAAAATAAGCTTCCGCAAGTTATTAAGTTTTAAATCGAAACCATCTAAATAGTTAGAATTAATTTCAGAGTTATTGACTTCTGTCAGTTATTAATAAAGAATTTTATTAAACGTTTTTTGAAAGAGGCAGCAACGTTTTATTTTATTCCAATTTTAAGCCAGTTGGTCCATGCTCAATAATACCTATAAATATTAATAATAATTTATGCAGCTCAAGTCAAAAGTTTATATAATTATTAAAAACGAAATCATAAATAGAAAACTGTAAAAAAAAAACATTTAAAGTTTTAAACTATAGACATTATTTGCATGAATTTTTCTAAGTAATAATTCGATTTCGAATTGCTAAAATCCGACACAATTTTAATTTGATTTATTTGCTATATTTATTTTCACACAACTTTACTTTTTCGTTGCATATTCAACAACAACAACATAAACAAATGTATCTTTTGTGTTATCGCATACGTATATCTTGTTTATATCGATGTGTACTCGTTTGTCGCTCGCTTGCTTCATTTACACACCCGCTTTGCCAAATATTTAACAACCACTACAACAACAACAACAACAACAATTGCGATTGCAATTGATATTGCAACCGACAACAACAACATATAAACGCATCCACACACACCCACGCAAACCCATTCACAACTGCATTGTAAATCACAGTGTACTATCATATCAGCCAGTTTCGCCGCAAGTAGGTGTTGCCCCGTCCACACAAGACACAATGGCTACGGCTGCAGCCACATTGTTGCCCGCAACTCTACTGCCCCAACAGCAGCAGCAACAGCAGCAACAACAGCAGCAGCAACAGCAGCAGCAACAGCAACAGCAGCAACAACAAAAGCTCGTCGCAATGGAGAACAACAATGAGGTGGAAACGCCACCGCCCACAATACGAAATATATCGTTGCATGCGACAGTGCCGAAATCGCCGCCACGGTGGCCACTGCGCCCAGGTGTCATGTTGCACGTGAGCAGCGACACCAAAGAGAATCTCGCCGTAAATCGCATGACACTGAAACCGAATCCAAGTCCCAGCACAAATCCCATTGCGAATGCGAGTCAATTGTCCGCCCAGTTGAGCGCAGTGCTCAACGATAGCCAAACTAACTCAAATAGCACAATGCTTACCGAGGTGATGGTGTCGGTGATGGATACAGCAGCAACATCGCCCGCAGCAACAGCAGCAACAACCATAGACAATAGTAGGCTGACGAAGACTAATCCGACTGACGTTGTCTTGCCATCGGCAGATGCAGCTACAGCTGAGCAGGTGCCAGAGCTTACCGCCTGCCTGGACAACCAAACAGCAATGCCAGCAGCAACATCAGAAATAGCCACAGCAGCAGCAGCAGCTGCTTCTCCTCCCAGCAATATGCAGCGCATTTTGAACTTTGTTTTTCGACGAGCGAAAAGATCTAACGGTAAAGATGATGGAACCCGGGACAGTCAACGCAGTCATGTGGGTCTATTGCAGACCTTCTGGCGTGGGCGTGGCAATCACGAATCCCCTTTTGGGGCACAGCATCGTCTTAAGGGCATTCGCTGCAGTGGAAGTGGTAAAAGCAAAATGACATTCCAACGACTCGAAAATGAACTCTTAACTTATGATTTTTATTTCTTATTTATGATTTGCCATTTTATGTTGCTCACATTGCGAATCATACACCAAACGCACACACACACACACACACACATATGTATCTTCACGTATCGCTAGTCACCTACAAAAAGACGCCAACAACAGCAGCAACTAATACAACGACAACAACTGCAACAACAGCAACAACAGCAGCAGCAGCAACAACAACAGCAGCAACAGCAACTCACAATTCCAGCGGTGTCCAATCACATGCCTCTGTGACATTTCAAGCGCCTTTATTAGACAAGACGTCGGCAATAGACACCGCAACGACAGTAGCAGCAACAGGAACAGCAACAGCAACAGCAACACCCGCAGCAATAGCCACACCCGCCGCAGCAGCAACAGTAGCCCACGCTGGGCCTGGCGCGAGCTGCTTGGCGCAACCGCAGCGTATACAGGGCATATTGAAGTGTCCAACGCCCCCGCCACGCCCACCGCCACCCATGTTGCCGCTGTTGCGGCGTGGCCCTGGCCATCAGCCGTTGGTCAGCAGCAGCAATATACCCATCAGCAACAGTGGCAGTTGCCCACCACTGCTCAAACGCACCGTTGTGGTATTACCAAACAAGGTCGAACGCGTCCAAAGTAAGAAGAAAAACTCACAAGTCATCTCATATACATACATATATATCCATATATATATATATAACATTCAGTCACACGCCCATCTACACTCTACTCATAAATCATTTACATTGATTGTGCTTTTCAATTGAATTTCATGCCGTTCAGCCTGTCTACATATACTGCTTTTGTATTACTATGTACATTTTTCGGAAACATTTTTCAACGTGACTTTCCCTCAACGTGTGTAAAATTATTAGCCAAAGGTGACTGGCCAAAACAGCGCCAAACAGAATGTCCGATATGTACTTTCAGCTATAGGGCATAGAAATTTATTTGAAAAGCAATTGGAGATCCATTGAAAATGCTGAATTGCAATTTTAATAAATTGAATAAATGGTCTAACAAGGTTTACTATATTATTATTTTTTGTTAAGTAACCTGTTCAATCGTTTTGGCAGTCGATAGATTGTAAATTCAGAAGAGTATTTTTAAATTAATATATATACATTTATTGAGATTTTTGCCTAAGGTCGTAACACATTCATCATCATATATTACATCGTTATCAATCGTACATACATTTACACACATAAGTACACTCAATTCTTTCCTCATTTATCTAATCTGTATCTCTTTGTACCACAATTAATCTGTGTAAGTAATTTACTATAACGAATCAAGCGTCGAGGTCCTCATTTAAGCTCAAAGAGACAAGTAAGAGATTTGAATATTGCTCCATAGCCTCAATCGTTACTAGAGCCATTAATAATGAACATCAGCTAACGCAATCAAGAACTTGTCATTAGTACAAATCTCGATGTTCTTATTATCAATTCGTGAAATATATATATTCTTTTTTTATTTGTTTTTGTATTGCACTTTTTAAATGTTTTCCATGTCTGCTTGCTTGTGAATTGTTTTTTCCCGAGCGTGTTTCAATTTCTGCATGATTTTATAACATAATCAAAAATATGAAAAATCATTAAGTCATATAAAACACAAATATTAAATATATATTATGTATCTTTAATTTCTATAGATTTTCCATTTGTTAATGAATGAGAAAATAAAGATTAGTCTAGGTGCTTAAGTTTAATTTTAGTGAAATGATTTTAGACTAAAGTGTTTTTGATTTTATGATTGACTAATTGAATTCTCTTCTTTTTTCCAAATATTTTCGTTTTTATCTCATTTGCTCCTAATTTACCAAAACATCGAAACAAAAAAAAAAAAAAAAACACTCCTCAATAAAAAACGAAAATAAAAACAAAAAAAAAAAAACCAAATACCCAACGCTAATCGCCAAAATCAACCGATCCGTATACGTATACTATATAGTACACGACAAGTCGTCTTCACTGGGGGATCCATTGACGGAACCTGGCGAGTATGAGAATCTACCGTTTCATGGTCTGCAAACGGCACCTAACAAGGTATAGTTAACCATTTTCTGTTTGTCCAATACATAGCCATGAATATTTTTACAAAACATATTTAATGATCAAACACTCAGCAACGCATCCAAACCCACACACACACACACCTACACACACACATAGACACACATTGCTAATCTCGCCTCGTATTATATATTGTACTACAAGTACTATATGTTTAAGTCCAAGCTTCATCTTAGTCTATTGCCTCTTGTCTATGTCTATGTCTATCTTGTAACTCACTTATTGTTTCTCTGGTCTTTAGTGTTATGCCATCTTTCTCATCTTAAGTTGGTATTTTGCGTAATTTGTTTGTCGTTAAACCAAAGAGAAAACTCAAGCTCAATACTTTGTTTTTGATATAAGTACCGTATAAGTATATATATATATATATTTGTATATATATGTATATGTATAGAGGTGTCTATCTTATCTATTTACGAGTAGTATATAACAAGCCTACTCTTTCAACTCCTTGCTTTCCATTGCCTAATGATGTCTCTCATTCATCATTCATTTGTCATCTGATTGTCATTTTTTCTTTCGTTGTTTTCCCATTTTCTTACTTTTTATTTATTTATTACAAGCAACATCAAAAAAGCTTGAATTGCCAAAACGGAAATAATCATGATTTATGTGTCGTCAAGTGAATTTTTGTTATTTTTCTTCTTTTTTTTTAACTTTTTCTCTCCTGGCTTTGGTATTTATCTATGGTATTTTTAAGCCCTGATTCTTGTAAAGAAATCTATAATGTTGTCTATATTAAATAGTTTGTAATGCGTAGAGTGTAAGTTTCTCACAAGTTTTTCATTTTTGTATATTATTTAAAGGAACTTCAATCAAATATTTACACATTTGCAAATATGCGATTTAAGTGGGACAATTGAATAACAAAATAAATATCTGTCTAAACATCATTTTGAATAATACCTGAATAATACAATTCCCGTTAAGCTCGCATGTTTGCAATACACTGAACTCCTCGAATCGGTAACACATACACCTATCTCCCCCCTCTCATCAGTGTTGTTCGCTAGTCCAAACACACAACAGTTCAACTAGTTCACAAGCCAACAGCTCACAGTTAATTTACTCGTAACTAACTGAGAAAGCATAAATCCATAACTAACCAACAATAACAACTAATCAAATGTTCTCCCTCTCTCTCTCTCTCTCTCTCTCTCGTTCTCTCACGCTGTTAACTCTTACACGCCGCTTATAACTCATATCGCATGTGCAGTTCTCTACTACCCCTACAAATTTTAATAACAACACAAATGTGGTGCGCGTCGCTCCACGACCCAAGAGACTAAATGGAAATATTGGTCAAGCAATGAACAACCAGCAGCTGCAGCATCACCAGACTCTGCAGCATCCGCATCCGCATCCTCAACATTACTACGACCAGCAACAGCAGCAACATCAGCAGCAGCAGCAGCAGCAGCAACATCTGCAACAGCAGCAACATCATCAGCAGCAGTACAACACTTTGCAGTACGGGCGTGGCTGCACAGCCCCGCCCCATCTTACAGCACCACATAACCGGAGTATGGATCAGCTGGAGACGAGCTCCGATCAAATCCAATATAATCTAAGCAATTGCTTTCCCAAAAGCTACACCGAATACTACCAACAACATCATCATCATCAGCAGCAGCAGCAGCAGCAACAATCCCAGCAGCAGCAGCAGCAGCAACAGTCCCAACAGCAGCAACAGCAACAGAAATTCAACACCAACTCCGCATCAAATGCACAGCTGTTGAATGCCATCGAGCAAGATTATCAGCCAACTTATGCGGTGGTTGAGCGTGTGCCACCACCACCACCAGCGCCCACCTCAGCGCTGCTCAATACGAATCCTTTTCTGGCCGCCAGCAACTTTAAGAAATACGATGCTGTCGGCGACGAGCTGCTGCAGGGCAGCATGCAACGTGGCAAGCGGGGTAAGGCGACGGCTGGTAGCTTGTTGGAGCGCTTGGATATGGATAAGAAATTTTACTCCTTGAAATTTCCCAATGGCGGCAATAAACTGAAAAAGCCAGCATACAATTTAAATTCATCGCTGGCACTGACGCCGACAACTGGAACTGGAACGGGAACGGGAACGGGAACAACTGGGCCAAAGTGCAAGCGGCATCATTCCTTTGCTGGTGGTAGCCATGGCGATATTGAATCCAACGGCAAGCCCATGCGCCTCTATGATCCGCCCGTCTATGAGAATGTGGCGGATAAGTGCGGTGGCGAAATGGATATGGAAATGGGCGGTGACAACAGCAGCAGCAGCATCACTCACAATCTCAATCTGAGTCACAATCCAAATCTAAATCATAATTTGGCAACTGTGCAGCTTCATACGCAGCCGGCTGCTGTTGTCGCCTCGGCTAGCCATAAGAAGAAACATCACCATCGCCAGCACCAGCAAAAGGCTGATGCAGCATCCGCTGGCATTGCTGACTTTCAGCTAATGGAACCGGAACGCCTAAGCATTTATCGCAGCGATTCGGGCATATCAAATAGCTCCTATGAGTCTCAACTGCCAACGGCGCTGGGACAACGCACACCCAAGCCACATAAGGCGACATCCTCGGGACTCAATCTCACCCGCAAGCCTGTCTACATGAATGTGGAAGGACAGCAGCAGCAACAGCAACAGCAGCATTTGGCAGGTGCTGCTTCACCTGCACACAATATTAATTCGTCCTATGAATCCGCATCGTCGGCACCAGTCACAGATCCCACCTCGCTCAGCTCAAGCAATTCGATTTACAGCAGCGGCATCGGCACAGTCAGCACTCGCTGTAATCGCCATCCGCAACAGCAACAGCAGCAGCAACTGAATCAAAGGCAGCCAACGCCGGAAATCACAACACCCGAGGATTATGAGCAGTACCAGCTCGGACATCAGCCAACGCACTCTGCCTCAATGTTGTCCGTTGCCAGCAGCGTAAGCGCTGCCAGTCGTGGCAAGTGCAAGCCCTCAAGCATAGCAACAACAGCAACAGCTTCGACAACAGCAACATCATTGCAACCGCTGCCACATCGCGTGGGTCCGCATGAGGTGCGTACATTTTAGATTCCTTGCCAATTTGCAGCCGAAAATGCGCCTGTGACTGGCAACCCAATTACCTTGGTGGCAATACACACCTTACACTCCACTTTCCACATAATTTCAGTTTTGTTCTAATAATTTTCTTAATTAAGGAAATAAATTAGGTAACAGCTTTTTTGACTAAATTTTAAATGAGATTGGTTAATAGATTAAACGGATTAACAATTGAGAATAACTTCTTAAATTGATTGATTTTCAAATACAAAGGTGACCAGAACAAATATTTCTACTCATTGGCCTTAACTGCCAAATACATAATAAATACAACCTGCAGTAAGAAAATGCATTCAGACAACTTTATATAAAAATATCTTCAAAGCTGAGAGACAAAGATTAGCATAGTAGATAAGGAAGGACAGACGGACAATATGGACACATAGATTCAGCTGGCAAGGCTGATCAGAAATGTATAGATATGCATATATAATAACTTTTTCAATGAACAATTCTTTTTTTTTGCTGTTATTACGGAAACAAATCAAACTAAGTTTTACGTCTCATGGCTCAAACTTTAAGGGGAAGAAATATGTTTGAATAAATCGTTATTTATTTGCACATCTAATTTTTTATATTTTATTGTGTATGTCACTTTTCTAATTTAATTTTATGATTTTCCATTGTTTTTATTCACATGTCACATTTGCTAAAATATATATAATAATATAATTTTGGTGGAAATACAACTACACAACAACTGCTGCAATTAAACACAAACAACAACAACAACAACAACGACAACAACAATTAAACAATTGCAACTGCATGCGAATTGAAAACGTTGCAATCCCAAAACTAATCACAGCAAACACAACTGTTGGCCACTAATCCATTTTTAGCACTTAAACGGCACAATTGCAACTCCAACTTCAACAGCATCAGTAGCGGCAGCGGCAGCGGCTGCAACAAAAGCAACAGCGATGCCAGCAGCAAGAAATTACGACGACAGACCATCAGCGACCCCTACGCACATATCAAACGGCATTTTGTCAGCGATGCCGATGCCACTAATACCAACAACAACGACAACACCAACAACAACATTAAAGCCTTTGCTGCCAACGCTCATTGCAGCTCCAAAGCCACGACAGCAACAACATCGTCAGCAGCAGCAGCAACAACAGCAGCGCAACAAATTGGCAACAACAACAACAATCGGCCTGGGCATGGGAGTGGGCGTGGGGGGTGGGGCAACAATCATCAACAACAAATGCTAATGCCAAACGAATTGCTGCTGCAGGCAAGTCAATTAACTGCTGCCGACTGTAATCAGAATTTAAGATATGTGCCGCCAATGCCAAGTGCCACGTCGCTGCAACAGCAGCAACAATTGTTGGACGGAGCCTACGACTGCCTGGTGGTGCGTCGCCCGATGCGACTGCCATTGCGCAAACATCACACTTTCCATTTCCAGACAACGCAAACGGCCAATGGCAAATTGCAGCAGCTGCGACGCCAACTGCAGCAGCAGCAACTGGAGCGACAGCAACAGGAGCAGCAACAGCAGGTGCGGGGTCCTCTCATCTATCGTCCACTGGCGCTGAGTGAACGGCATGCCTTTAAGCCAATTTCGCCAACACCTGCGACAACAGCAGCAGCAGCAGCACCAACGACAACAACATTGTCTGATTATGAAAAACGCGAAGCCAACGAAGCACAACAGCAACAACAGTTGCAACAACAACAAAAACAGGAGCAGGTAACAGACCAACATCAGCTGCGGCAGCAACTAAATCCCGCCGCCTCATTAGAGGCATTAGAGGTGCTAACTAAAACGCATCCGGACTTTATGTTTGCTCGACCCAGTGCCAAACAAAGCGCGCCAATTGGTGCAGCAGTTGCACCAACAACAGCAACTCCTGCCGATGTGGAGGAAGATGAGGATTTGGGCTACTCCTTTTGCGAGGAGGAGTACCCCGTTGATGCTGTTAGTCATGATGATGATAACTACATTGATGATGACGATGACGCTGACGGTGATGATGATAGAGAGACAGCAGTCCACAATGTTACAGCACCGCCCACAACACCAGCCCACAGCACACAGAGCAGTGCAGCAATCGCGAATGCAACTGCGGGCGCATTGAGATACTTTATGACTCAAAGCTATCGCGAAGTCCACATTTAGAATGCAAATCGCTCAGACCCAACAGAGATAGACAGATAGAGATAGATTGAGATAGAAAGAGAGAGAGAGAAAGAAAGATGGAAATGAATGACAGTTAGACAGGCCTAAATGACGCATACAAGGTATTTAGTATTTAGATGAGATGAGATGAGGAAAAACAGAGATAAAACAAAAAAGACAACTGCATATTTATAACTAGCATAATTCTTGATTTGAAATAAGGTATAAGCAGTCGAAAGATCAGTCAACTTAAGCGAGTAACTAAAATATACAATAGTTTATAGAATATCATCAACACATTCAGCAAAAGGTACTCAATTCCATATGGCGAGTGCTAAGAAAGCGATTCCAGGCAGAATTTAAAAAACAAAAACACTTTACTCGTCTCCAGGATTCTTGGGTTTTCAGTGTGTGTAGTTCACTTGCTGTTCGCATTCCATCAACTTTTGCCAATGTTTTTTACGCATCTATGCATTATTCATATAGCAATTAATTATTGATAGGACATTTGTGGCCTCAGAGACGCCCAAAACTCAACCCATATGAAGAAATCGAATACACAGAAAGTCCAAAGTGCAACAGTTGCACCTTTTTTTGGCACTTAGTGTTAGTGTATATAGTTAGCATAAATTTAAACATTTAACAAGTGAATATTATTTAATTCAACTACAATTAAACAGGAAAAAAATAACAAAGAAATCTAGATTCACAATAATCATTGAGCATTATTAACACTAAACTAAACAAACCATTCCCAGAAGCACAACCGATTCATTCTATTACGGTACATATATATTTATATAATAATTAAGTTCGATAATAAGGCAACTCTGACTGTATGTGTGTTAAGTTTGAAGTAGTTTTGTGTAAAGCTATACAAATAAATATTTAAACAATTTAGATATGTATGTATATGAGAACCTATCTGTAAGCCCTCGTATTGTATATAGAAATCATTCGATGATTAGTTGCATTTACTTTTTCTCCGACAACTGAGAAACTTGTGGAGCAACTAGACACAGCGACGATGAGTTGATGCATTAGCTATTTATTTGAATAATTAATTTATTAATGAGAAAATAAAATAAAAAACACCATTGAAGCGAAAACCAAACAGGAGCCAAGCATACTATAGTTATTTCAATATAATTTAAGCGCAATACTTGATAATATATACTTTGTATACTTAAGCTATAGTTTCTCTAAGGAAAGAAATACCAAAGCTTCATTTATAAAAGAAAAGAAAAAACTCACTTGACCGTCATTACAGATAAGCCTATTATAATCCCATAATCATCTGCCACAATACAAAGCTAACCAGTCAAATTATAATAGAAATACCAGTAATTGAAGTGTGTTCTAAATTTCATATTAATTTCTTATAGCATGTGTCCGATTTTGAGGATCCATACAAAGGCAGCAATACCTATATATTCTAAATTCTTTTTGTATAACTTTCAACTAAAATTAAAATGCCAGCTAAATGTTTTATGTCACAATAGAAAAAGGTAAATCTATAACTCGTATATATTCCAAGTTATACTTAATAAATATGTATTTCTGTTATGGTAAAATGTTAATAATTTATTTCAACTGTCGTTCTGCTGTCAATGCTATTTATGGTCATCCTATGGTCATTCTGATTTCAATGCCGATTCTTAAAATCGTTCGATATGCTATATAGCACACACTTTTCTCGCCCAGTTCTTTCATTTGCTTATATATACAAATACGACAGGCGGTATAGATTATTAATACTATGCATGAGAAGTGCGCTCTCTAACAGTTGTTTCAAGCATGTTCCATTTAATGGAAGATTGTATATACGATTTTTGATTTAAACACAATATACTTTGCATTTCTCGATACCAAAAAAATACAGCCACTAAATGCCGCAAGTTTCGATGATGAATTCATCTATGCCGATCTCGAGAGTCAGCATTATGGGCCCATCAATTATAAGGCCGCCTCACTATATGCCCAGGTCAAAAAGAACAAGAAAACGGGTGCTTTGGAGGAGCAGAAGAAATAATGCTGGAGACACCAAATACTCTAATTAAAGAAAACATTTTGCAGTGCATTTCGGTCGACTTATGTTATTTATTATTGTTTCTAGTACTTAACAAGCGATATGCGGACGATTGAGCTTCTGTAAAACAAAAAAATGAAAACCATAAATTTTAAATCTAAAATTGTTTAAAGCAAATGAATAACGAATTTCTTAACTTTATAAATGTAAACTAAAACAAAATGATAGTAATTGTTATACAAAATAAAGTAATAAATACAAAAGAAAAAACACACACACACATAAATTAAAAATATCTAAAATGTAAGTCACGCAGCAAATTAACTAGCAAAATATTTTGACAGGCAATGCACATGCATTATCAAGCCCCATTAACAGCAGCAGATATGTAAAGGACGAAAAAAAAAGGACAAATGAATTGCATCATTTATATCACTTATCAAATAATATTAGCAGGCATTGTACTTAGCAACAAAAAGCGAATAGCTATAATAAATAAAAAATTACCAATTTAAATCGAAAAGTAATTAACGGAGCAACATAAAAACCAACAAATTTATTATGCATCCAACCATAGTCTTTTTTAAACGATTAAACAAAGAATAGCAAATATAAAACAGCAAACAATTTTTTTTTGTATATTCAAAATCAACCGCAAAACTAGCTAACAGGTCCCAAATGCATAATAAAAAATGAATAAAACAACAACAACAAAACTTGACAGCAAACAGTGAAAAAGCCATCGAAAACAACATTAAACATAACAACATTCAACAAATTAGCTGCTTTAGTGAAAAGATGAAACAAAAACTAAAGAAGTAAGCATTAAAATTTAATTACATTGTTTTCTGTTTATATACATAACAAAAAAAAAAGAAAAAAGAAATGGTCTCCTAAAAAACCGAATTATTGTAAATTGAAGAACATAAATAATTTAAATTAACGGAACGTCAAATGAATTTTGTTATGCAATTTATTGTAATTAATTATAAATATAATTTATTATTAATTATGTGAAATACAACAAAAACATATAGTATACATACATGCATACATTACTGTATAATTATACACATAAATTATAAATCAGCATTTACTTGCAAATGCCGGCAAAAAAAAACAAAAAACAAATAAAACTAAACCTAAACTAATACAAACAAGCAAAAATAAAAATAAATAGGAAAGCAGAGAGCAACCAAAAAGTGGAATTAAATTGAAAGTAAACAACTTAGACTCAAGTACTTATATACACATACATATATAGATTGAAGGAACCCCGTAAATATACGAGTAAAGTAAATTATGATGAAGAAAACGTAAATAAATAAATTGTAAAATTTAAAGTTCTTGTCTATTTATTACATCTTCTATACGGCATTGAAGTAAGTAAACAACTTTCTAGCAACTAAATAAGACAGAATAATATATAAGTTTAGATTGGTTAATCTTGGAATCTGGAAGCATGTAATTCTATTGGCTACTAGAATCCAATTATCTTGACTAATAATTTGTTTTTCGACTTTGGCTTATTGAGAATATATTTGCCTGTGCTTCACTTGCAGCATGCAGCATGCAAATTGAAAGAATCAAAATCAGACTACAATTTGCCAATTTTTGCATATTAGTGTTTCGGAAAGTGCATCCAAAAACGACACACACACACACACACGCATATGGGGATCACACACACACGGATCTGAATGTGACTCCCATCGCATTCTGATGCTCTTCTCGTCCTCGTTTCGATTTTCATCCCGTGTGTCATTTCCGTGCAACGTAACTGAATTCGGTTATTGCTTCCTGCAACGTTGCAGCGCTGTCATTTCCGTTACTGCCAAACACACACACATTAATTTCCATATACGCATACACACACAAATACACACACACACACACACACACACACACACACACACACACACACAGCTGCATCCGTGTCGAGGTCAGTTGGCCTCGCCTCGTTGCGTCTATTAATTGACGCTTCAAATTTTGGGTAAATATTTGCCAACATTCACGAATTTCAAATTCATTTCTGTTTTAACTAGAATAAAAAGTTTTCACTTTTGTCACACTTCCGGTTAAGTACACACACACACACACACATGCACAAGACAAACCACATTCATTTCCGCAATGTCATTGAATTACATTTAATTTTTAATGCTGCATTTCAACTCTCGGTTAAGTTGTTATTGTTTCGAACTATAACTTGCAAAATGAGTGCAACAATGTTGTTAGTGGCTTAACCCCAATGGCAGAGGTGAATTGGAATAGTTCAAATTGATTCGATTGGATTTGGAGTACGAACCACAACGAACAAGCCGTAGCAGCATTTTAATAACAATTTACTCTCTCTTTGAGCGCATTTAGTTTGACACTGGCCAGCACTGGCCATTTCTTGCCACACATTTTCTAAACAATTACGTGCCTAGTGAGCTCATAAAAACTCAAATACCAAAAAACAAGCTGCTATCCGGGCAACCTAACCGCTATCCTCGTGCCCTCCTTGCTAGCCAATTGCTAATTGCCGGGCCACGATGAGCACGTTGGCAGCCTTGTACAACAATCACTGAGGAGGTGGGCCAGCAGCAACAACAGCAACAAAAACAAATACTGCTAGCTTGAATTCAACTGTTCAACTGCTGCTCAACTAATGGTCCCAAATTCGCCTTTGCAGTGACCCCTAAATAAATGGTCAGCAGGACAAACAACACCTGCCGCCTGCCGTTGAGATGCAAAGGACAAACTTTTTATCTCAACTTTTGTGCCTTGTCATACCCTGTACTAATTAAATCGACCACAAAGGGTGGCTTAAAAAAGAAAGTTCGTTACACACACATGCAAAAGAAAACTCACATAAAATAAATAATATATTTTTAGTTTGAATATGTTTTTTAAAATGAGAAATCATGAATAAAATTTGATTTTCTCTAATTTCACATTTTAATTTCCATTCTCAAGAGCACATTTTTGTGTTTGTAGATATAATTTTATAATTCAAGAGAATATAAAACTTTGACTCAAGTACAAGATAACTCTAAGTCGAGTATTCTTGTCAATTTTCAATGCATGTTTGTGTGTGTGAGCCCAAAGTATCTGTCCGTTCTAATGACACATTGCATTGGCAGACAGAACTACATATTTTTTAAAACAAAAACAACAATAGACAGATCTGTTGCTGTCTGTTTGTGTTGTTGCATTGCTGTCTGCTGTTAATGGCGCCGAAAAGTATGCAAAACAAATGGCACACAAACAAACATTTGCAGAGACAGACAAAAAGACAGACAGACAGACTGACAGACAAAGAGAGAATATATAACAAAACAGTCGTCGACCAAAATGAAGTTGAGTCGAGTGGAGTGCGGAGTACATGACATTTAATGGTGCCAACTGTTGTCAAACAATATGCCTGCAGACTGTCCGCTTTTTGTACTGCCCACTCGGTCATTGTGTCAGTTTGCCAGCTACTTTATCCTGCCACACAGTCACTCACACATATTTAGTTCAACTTCTGCACTCATTCATTCGCTATTCACAAACTTTTTACGCCTTCACAGACAAAATTAATGTGCTTTTAAATTAAAGCCACAGCTGCAATTGGTTGCTGCAGCTGCAACAGGCTTGGGTCACCTTCAGTATCTGGTTGGCTACGAAACTGCACTTCAACTTTGCCAACTTAAATAAAATGCCAACTGACTCAGAATTGTTAGCTCGGAGCTCAGGTAAAACAAACGCTTCGACTCTCTTGGCCATCTCGCAAAAGCAGATGCCATCTGCAATGTGGTCGAAGAGTTCACTAAAGTTGTCATTTAACAAGCGTTGGGTACTCACGAAAACCAGATCTGAATTGGCGAATTCTTAGGAGAACATTAATTAAAAGCAGAAGGTATTTTACTTTGAGGAAAATTGGTTAAGTATTTACTCAACATCATAATTATATTTATATTTAATATTGCGATATATCCACCTTTAAATGCACTCAACTCGATACAATTCAAGCTAAAATTATAACAATTGTTATTTGACTTCAATTTAATTAATATAATGATAACAATAAACTTACAATTACATATAGGTAAAAAAAATGGCAAATTAAAATTATTGAATTCATCATTTATGCATATGATTTATAGGTGAATTTTGTGCTATAAACTTTAACACGTATAACTAAAGATTCCGAAATACTTAATCAAATGCTGTGATTACTTTGAGATGCAACACCTTTCTGTGTACAACTGTGCGTATGATTTGCATGTTGCCAGGCTGCTCCTAGTGCATTGTACGTCGCATAATGTACGTGAGCAGCAACAGAAATCAGCCTTGGGGCTATAATCAGCAACAGCAGCACGCGCATAAATTATAAGCACTACTCTGTGCAACAACAAGTGCAACTGCAACAGCAACTTCAAATGCGACAACTACGAATAGTGCTACTATGGATGGTTGGAGTCGGGGAATCGTCGGTGGTCGATTCGTGTATGCCAAAATACAAACTCTCATAATTTCCATGTCAGTCTGCCTGATTGACGATGACGATGACGATGGCGAAAATGTCAACGAGGCTGCTGTCAATGGCTGCTCTGATCACCACGAAGCGTAGTTCTCATATGCTATGGACTACGACAACCCCACCGAACCGCACAGCACGGAACTGAAGAGAACGTAGTTGAGTAGAGTAAAGAGTAGTTCAGAAGGCTGGGAAAAGCAATGACACATTTTGATGGCACAACAATCACAACAGCAATAGCAATAACAGCAGCAGCACCAGCAGCGGCAACAGCAACAAGAACAGCAGCAACTGTTGCAACTGCTGCGCGGAAGCTGTCGCAGCATACAAAATGCCAAAGGTGAACGAGCAATCGAGTTGAGGAATGGTTCGGGATGAGGAATGAGGAATGAGTGGTAGCGGGACAGACATTGAGCCAACTCAACGGAAGCGAAAGCAATGTAAAGGCAGACGTTGCAAATAAACTTAGAGCGTTTGCCAAAGTTGCAGCAGGACAAATTGCATGAGGAAATATTATGAAAAGGTTCTCAAAAACTGAATTATTAAACTAAGTAAGCCGCTTTAAAAGAGATGAGAAAATAGTAAACTTAATTGTAATGCCAAAATATAGTTGCTCATCTTGATCAAAAAAATATTAATATATTTTATATGGTATAAGAAATTATGTTTTTTAATTTGTAAATACTAAATTAAAAAATGAAGTCGAAAAGCAATAATTTAAA